AAATTTTACATAAAATTCCTTCTATGTGTGGAGGAAGAACCTCCTTTGTCTGTGGCAGGTTCCCTCAACTGCTGTGGATCATACCAGGAAGTGAACATGCTCCACGTTTACTGCAAGCTAGCTCCCAATGAGCACCACATGTTGGAGCTCTGAAGTACAGTTTATCATTATCTTTTTTTCATCATAAATCCTCTCCTGAGGTTAGAAGAGTGAAATTTGGCAAAGAGGATAGGAGTCGTCCAAGAAACGCCTTGCCTGGTTTAGCAAGCTGAATCTGTCTCCCAACAGCCACTGAAGGTACAACTTCTCCCATCCTCCTCCTGGTGCGTTCAACAGCCTGGCTGAGATATGTGCTGTACACATTAGCTACAGGCCTCATCCTTCTCCTGCCTGCTCTGTCACGGCTTCCACCATGTCCGTCTGCTTCCTTAGGGGGCTTCTGTCTCTCCCATCACTGTGGTATCTGCATATCATAATCCTCATTTGAGAGCTGGGGGAATTAGAAGCAGCTAAGCAATTTAACCTGAGGTGAGATGTCAGCAACGAAGCATTAATCACAGTCCTCTGCAAAGTCAAATCATTATTTAGCATTACTTTTTAATTGCTTTGCAAACAGGAACATAAACAACAATTTGCTACACTGCACAAATGCACATGCTGGATGCTTAGGGATGCTTTTGTGACTAAGGAGAGCGGACAAACAAGCAGATGTCAGTGTTGAAGGATGCCGTGACTGCAGGGTTAGCTCTACATGAAATAATATTTCTGGCACCAGATAATCAAATCAGGATTTCACAGAATGTCTCACTGCCCTTTCGGGATGATCTTTGTTGAGTATATGCTGCACTGGGGCCTTCATTTCTGTTCTATGTGGCATATAAGCTCCTAACTTTATTTATCAAGTTATCTGCGTTAGACTAACACTAGCAGTGGTGCAGTCTAATAGCTCTGTCAGCTTGTTGTCCTCAGACAACTGGAGTATGTTATGACTGAGGGCTGAACCTTTGCTAGGATTGTACAGGTCTCTGGACTTTCTGGAAACTTTGGTGACTTACTGAGAGGCAGAGCTGGGGAATTCATTCCTATTTCATGCTAGTCGTTGTGCAGCTGAAATCACCTAGTTTTCATTTTGGAATTCACTATATAAAGCTTTTTTTGACGATGATATAGACAGTAGGTTAAAGATGGGCTTGCATGAACGTGAAATAGCTATTTCTTTAACGATACCATGTTCCATGTCAAAGAAAAGTTAAACAAACAAAGTGGTCAGGACAAATCCTTCCTTTCCTCACGTGTCTGGATGTGTCGAAACAGGAAGCAGTATTCTGAGAACAGAGTCTTTCCCTCCCCTCTCATGTGATAGTACAAGTGGTATTGGCAAAAACATGAGGGCAAATGCTTCCTCTTTTTAAGTGGGGGAAGCCAACCTCTCAAAATCTCAGAGATGATGTTCTTGTACACCTTCTTCCTTCTTGAATCTAAAAAGACTATATCTCTGAGTAGCTGAGATTATTTTTTCTCGTCCCTCAGTTTGGCTTACCAATGAACCTGTAATGAATCAGCACAGCCCATGGGACTGCCTTATCTGTGCCCTCTTTGTAACCTTTGAACCAGCTGGTTGAGTTCAGCCACATTTGATAAACAGTAACTCTCTGCTCTTCCATGAAAATCAGCTGCTGGATAGATGAAAGCAGCTCTACTAAAAGAGTGAGGAAAAAGCAGAGAAATCTCAATTCTCTTCTCTTCTGACAGCAGCTGACCAGCCAACTAGCCCATACGTTGGTCATATGAGCTATGCCATCTGTTTTTACCTTTCTGAATGATGCAGAGAAAAGACACTCAGAAGTTGTGGGCTGAGAGGGAATTGATAAGGGAGAGAACATCTTACGAGAAACAGACTCTCAGGGTCATTAGGCGAAGGCTGACAGGATGGAGGCTGTGTAGTACTCCTTGTAAAAGAACATAAACCAAAAATAATTGACAAGAACACTAGTGATAAGGGGTATCCAACAAAGACCATCTGGTGACGAAGCCCCTTGTGGAATTCAAGGACAAGATACCTTACGAAATCTGCTGAGAACAAACAGTTTTTGGACTAAGGTAAAAAGTTCATCGTGAGGAAGACCTACGGCCTTCATCCCTGAAGACCCCTGCCCACGACCACCAGGAGACACTGCGCAAGCGTCAAGAGGAGGAGCAGCCAGCCACCGGAACTGAGTGCATTTTTTGGGATAGCTCATGAATACGTATAGGCGTCTCATGAATATGTAACTTTCACTGCATATAACCAAGGTGACTGTATCGTTCAGGTGTGCATGCTTTCGGAGGAGAGATCCCCTGTGCACCAGCGCGCTTATTAAAGCATACCTACTTTATAACTTCTCGAGTTATAGAGTCCTTTCCGCGTGTCATGAAAGCCAAAAAAAAAAAGATTATGCAGAAGAAACTGCTACTGTCTGTGGGAGGAGGAAATAGGGAACACCCAGGAAGCTAAATTGTTAGAGTGGAGAGGTGTACCAGGCACAGGACATTTGCCTTCATTAAGATCAGTACTTAGAGAGCAGTTTTGGTGAGAGGTGAAGAAAAGCACCCATGGAAAAAAAAGCCTTAGAAAAACTCAAATGAAAGTATGTCCCCATATTTTCCATATTCTACATTAAACCAGAATATGATGAAAATTAAAAAATACAAAAAAAACCATGTGCAGTTTACATAAAGCTGGGTAGTACACAAGAACCAATGCCCGCTCTCCTTATGCTTTTTTCCTGCAACAGTTCCCAAGAAGTGAATATTCACGTTAATTAACAAACCTCTAAACCAGAGCCAAAAATTTTGCAATTCCCACCTGTACTGCATTCAGCTAGGAGAGCCTTAATTTTCACTGGAGGCTGGGAGCTGGGCATAGCCGGGGTAGCTGAACCAAACTAGCCACTAGCCAAGGGGATACTCGATGCCATCATGACTCATGCTCAGGGTATATAGAGGCAGCTGCTCGGGGCAGGGGTCTCTCTCCCTCTCTTTCCACCTCTCTGCTGCGTCGCTGGGGTCCAGGTGGTGAGACGTCCGTGTTACATACAACTCGTGTTATATCTGGTTAAACACTACTGATATTTCGCTCTTATTGTTGTCAGTTATGTTTCATCATTAAAACAAACTGGTTTTATCTCAACCCCACGAGGCTCCTCCCGGGCTCTCCTCCTCCCTCCCGGTAGGGAGAGGGAGTGACCTCGTGGTTCCTTGTCTCTCCCTGCTGGTCAGTCGGCTTGAACCACGGTGTCTTTTGGCGCCCAACGTGGGACGCAGATTTGACAAAAGAGTGTTAGAAAGATAATTTTCTTAGATCGATTTTGCACATTAGTCAAGTAGTTTGTTTTTGTAATGCTGGTTCATTTCTTTACACTGTGGCATTGGCTGAATCCATATGTAGCCTATTTATTTCCTGCGATGTTATTTATCAGCTGTGGAAAAGGGGTTCAAAGCATAATTCTTTTGTATGGGGTGACGACAGCTTATGATATCATTGCATCACTGGCCACGAGGGTTAGCTGGTATTTGTATGAGGCGCTATTGTCATTCCCATGCCTTGGGCGCCTCCTCTCAGAATTCATTAGTAACCGAACCGAATCCATGGGGAAAGCAGAGGAGAATGTTCTCTCCAGCTTATCCTTCAAGCTCATCACAACAGGTTCTGAAAACTTTGAATATTCTTGAAATACCCAGTCCAACATGGTTCTCGTTCTGTGTCTCCTGGTTTTCGTTCTGTGTCTCCTGGTTTTCATCCTGTGTCTCCTGAATGTGTGCCAGATCTTGCTCGGAGTCACACCAAAATTTTCTAAGGATATCACCCAGAGATCTGTCCTGAAGCCAGAGTGGGGAGTGAGCGAGGGAGCGACCTCGTGGTTCCTTGTCTCTCCCTGCCAGTTGGTCGGCTTGAATCACAACACCACCCCAAGTTATGATTTACACACAATTTCACTCGTGGCAAGTTACTTCTGCTAACGGAATTTAGCTTTTCACTGTCATTTTGATGTAATAATACACACACAAAACCACGCGTCGCTCACATGATCAGCACACAGTGCAAGGGTCACACTTCTTGCCCCAGCATTGGTGTGGACGTAACCTTTACATGCAAAACAGGGATATGCAGTGAGACTGCATTATGTAGCACATAGGACTGGCATCAACCTGGATGTATTTTTTTTGAATTAAGATGTATGAGTAGGCAAATAAGATCAACCCACATTTAACTCTCACTTTAGCTGTGAAGTTTTCCACAGACTTCAGCAGACTCTGGATTAAGAAGGCAAAATTTAATTAGCCATAGAAACTGCAGGGCAGAAACTCAGGGGACTGAGCAACACCTGAATATAGGGGGCTACCTGGCAATGCACTGATATGTTCACATTATTGTTAGCAATGAAGTACGAGTAACACCTTGCAATGCAAAACACACCAAATACTTGCATTTAATTTATTCATATTAAGTTCATACCATCATAATAACTTCACAGTTTTGCATCAGGTAAAAAAATATTCAACAAAAAGACTATGCCACTAAGATATTCTTAATACACACAATTTCTCTTTAAAAACGATGTCTTCCTTTACAAAAGATCAAGTCTTTCTTTACAAAATACGATTTTCTTTTACAAACCTTATACAGTATGCCAGTTTGATTATCTTTTGCAATAAATAGTTCATTAAATTTAAATTAACAAGTATTATATATGATATTTGCTTTTAAAATTAATGTCATAATACAGTCCTAGGTATTGCTACAACTTAACAGAGAGCCACTACAAACAGTGGCTAAAAACATGTACCATTGAATTCCTCATTTATAGTCAGGTTCCTTGTACTTTAAAAAAAAAATTCTGTCAAAAGTCTGTGTACACATCTCCCTATATGAATTTTTACTGTCTTAAGAATGCAGTGAGAAGATAAACTCAACAGCCCATTTTCTTTCTTTTGGTCTGAGTGAAGTATAAGGAGTGCATTTAGGCTTCTTCTGAAGCTGGTAGTATTCTTGATTCAGAATCTTCTTGTTCAGAGTCCTGAAGGTGCTTTGTGCTCTCACTGGCCTCACCTCTAGTCTCATCGCTCGGATTTTTGGATTCTTCTGAGATGACAATTAGCTTGTCATAAGAAAGATGCTCTTCTTGTGGGAGTGGAGAAAAAAGCTGTGAACCACTGGAAGGCTTGCTCAAAAACTGCAAAGGAAAGAGGAAATGAGAATTTGGTGTCTTGTTTGCTTAGAAATATGTTTTGTATTGTTTTCCACACATCAATCGGCTTTCTCAATCCTTAGAAGTCTCAGAATGACAACAACGTAATAGCCTCCCTACTTGCTTTAACATCCTGTGCAAGGATGGAAGGAAGTGCCTTTATTTGCAAGAAGGTATCACAGGGCTTAGTGACTTCTTTGAAATATAAACTACCTAGATTTCATTTGGAAACAAAATCTAAAAATGGCGCCTTGATTGTAGGTGAAGGAGTTTGCAGAGAGATTTGTCAAATAGCTCCAAGAGATGTGAATTGTTTCTGCCGTCTCGGAGAGCTGTCTGATCAGACATCAAATAGTTATCATAGAACGGCCTAAGCTGGAAGGGACCTTAGAGATCATTTTAATCCAGCCTCCCTGCCGCCAGGGACACCACCTCTCAACTAGATCAGGCAACACATGGGGACCGAACGGTTATCGAACCCGCGACCTTGGCGTTGTTAGAACCACGCTCAACTGACTGAGCTAACCGGCCCCCTGTGCTCTACATGTCAGCATAAACCATAACCATTTAGTCAAGTAAAGGAGGGAGATTTGTAGGCTATGCAGTTCAGTGAGAAAGGCTTAATTTTAATACTGAGACACCACAACTTCCTCCCATTCCCTGTTCTATTGATAAGGTGGGATCAGCCTCAAGAATCAACATGGACTTTGTAGGATGCCATGACTCTATTTTGAATGTCCACACGAGAACAGCACACCTACTCATCGCAGTAATAACGTTCAGCCACTCATTTTGGCAGATGACATGAGGGTTCATTTTCTTGGTAGTGGCTGGAGGAGTACAACTGCATTTTGTTCTTGTGACCTGAACCCTGTCTATTACTTTAGTGCATTTTAAATTATAAAAAAGCTGCTCTATCAGGGATTCTGTTCACTGTAATTACAAGCATAAATACTAATACTATTACTATTAGATCATTTTCCAGCAAAGTGTGATTTGAAATGTTCTGTTGGTAACCTGCAATCTGAAATGTTCAAGTAGCGAAACCAGTGCCTTTGATAAATGTCCTTTTAGGTAAGCATGACTTGACCTTTGATTACTGTGATTAACCACTATAAGCCACTAGCACAAAATGAAAATTCTCCCTTTCTTCTGAGAAACCTGTGAGCAAAATGAAATCTGACCGCATCCTGTATTGATCAGAGCAACGCCACTTTCCTAACAGCCGAGCTCCACGTTCAGCAAACTACTGCGCATGGAGCGTGTGCTCAACTTGAGGCACTCCTGAACTCTCAGCGAGTCAGAATGAAAGACTCAGAGAAACTGTAGGAAGCGCAGAAGAGTATGGGTTGGTAACTTCAGCATGCCTAACGCTCTATGTGGCCTTGTTGGTTGGAGAGAATTCCGATACGGCCTTTTTATGTTGTGATATGGGCAACAGGGTCAGTGGTACTTCCCAACAGCAATGGCTCAGTTGCTCTCATTTTATCTTGTATTTTCAGACTTCGCTACGTTCTTCACCTAACTTAAAACTCACTATTGTAGTTTTGAAAGAACTTTGTTCTGGGAGAACAAATGTTCAAATTTAGGTCTAAAATGAAACAGGGGAGCCATATCTCAGTTGTTCGTTATCTAGAAAGGGGAACTGATGGTTAACACCTGTTACTCTCTCACTTTAAAAGGAAAGAAAACATCCTGTTTCTGAGCCATATAAAGCTTCATATTACAAATCATGCAGCTGCTTTAGGAATACAACTCTATGCCAAGGTTTTTAATTGTTCAGCTTTTAAATATTTTGGACCATCCTGTGCAGAACAGTTCAAAATTACAGTATTTTTGAGTTTATTATACATCAGTATACTTCAAAAGGAAGTCAAATTTCACTGCTTGTTACTTATGGCTATGCAGCGCCACAGAATTTGATGAAAAAAGTGAGGTAACATCCATGCAAAATTTATGACCTCATAATGCCAGAAATTAAATATTAAATGAACTGTTTTCCACTATCTTTCTCAAGCTGAAAAGTACCTTCCTTTGTCAACTTCTTCCAAAGTTCACAACTTCATCATTTACGCTTATTTGAATGGCTTTTTGTTTGGCAGGAGAGCAAGTTTTACCATATACAACAACTATATAACAATAACCAGCATTGCTCCTTATAGTCTAAAACCCCTTCAGAAGAGTCTGTGCTTTATAGATGGTTAACAATCAGGTGAAATGAAAGAATGCAAAAATAAAAGAAGATCTAATGGTTTTGGCACAGACAGCCTTTGAAAAGCAGGTGGTTCTGCTGAGAAGGCAGATTTTAATTGTGTTAGAAAGAAAACAAACCTCTTTCAAGTGTTGTGGGAAAATATATGAAGGGCAGAAAACATGTTTGGTGAGTCGATATAGATACAAAAAGGAAAAGAAACAAACAGGAACAGATATCACAACGACCATCATTGATCCTATGAGAACGATCACAATTATCCACACAGGAGTTACACCTGCAAGAGATTAAAAAAATAAAACAATTAAAACTGTGATTATTGATTTCTTTACATATTCCTTACAAATTATCACTTTCTCTATGGGAAATAAACTCCCCCCAAACTATTACAAAATTGTAAATGCAAATGTAAGTCCTTGTTTCCAGACGCAAAATACCTCTTAGCTCTTAAATGTTTTGTCTTAATAGGCTGAGAAAGTTCTCAATAAAGTAAGCTTACAGGCCATCATACTGGAGATTCTACAAGCAATACCAGACAACTGAGTAAATGAAAAAAGACTAACAGAACTATCCACAAGGTGATATCTATTGTAACCTCTTTGATGTTTCAGGAGTGTAGGAGTTGACACGTAAAACTGCCAGAGTACAGGCTTCCAGTTTTCTTTTAAAGAGATCTGTACAAATGGCAGTAAAGACAGTAGGGGACAAAAATCTGTAAAATTCTATACTGAGCCTTTAAAATAATTGTTGTGCATGTGGATTTCTCAATAGGCGATGGGGATGAAGACGTATCCATAGATCACTGCATAAATGTTTGAAACCAACCTGAACTGGCTAAGCATCATTCTAGCCATGAACTGAGGGAGTAAGTTATCTGAGGGAGTTAAGTTAGGTGAAATAAACCTTAGGCTTGTGAAAAAGACAGTATCTGGGACCCTATCCTTTCTTTTAAGCAGGGACATGAAGCTCCCTGCTTAGACAACAGGGTCAGACCATGTGGTGGTTATTGCTGGACTCTACAGGCTGCAGCTAAGGTGCCATGGCTGGAAAGGAAAGAGCTTTTGGTATTTAACTGCCTTCAAAATGAGAAGTATCTAAACAAAGTATTTGTTTGTATTGTTGATTAATAACTGCTGTGTTTCTCAGAGAAAGAGCATCATTGCCTAGCCTTGTGACAGACACTGGCAATGCCATCACAGAGGAAACAGATTCCAGCAGAGGGTCCAATTCCTTTCTCAGTTACAAATCTATGCAACAAAGTCTTCCATAGGATAATGAATACAACTGATGGTAAAAGACATACAAACACACAGTGCAATCAGTGAAGAGTGTATGCTCCATTTAACTGTGACTTTCAGACTACGAGGAACACAGAGGCCATCAGTGCTTGCAGTTTTCACTTCATTTCCAATTCCTCCACTCCAAAGGAACACACGTATTAATCACCAATCAATACTAAGGTAATAAACACATCAATTTTTGGAAAGTTTATACACGTTACACTGATTTTTATTTTGAATGGCTTTGCACATTTCCCAGCTCCCTACAGCGCGTATCTCCTTGTGGTGCAGGTATTACCATTGTGGGTTGTCTGCTCACAGAGCTCCCCGCTCAGTTTCCCTGTTTTATTCCACTCAGGGACGACTGCTTGCACTTGTATACAATAGATTGTCCATGGCTCCAACTGAGATAATATTTCAGAGTTATGTTTAGTATCTATGTGAGTCACCTAATAACAGGGAATACAAAAAGATTTGAAAAGCATGAGTTCAGTGAATGAATTACTTAAGTAATTAAAATTACATTTAGTAAGACAAATCCTAGCAGTTATAGCCGCAATGTGAATAAGGCTTTTAGAAGCAGAATGAAATGCCCTGCCTATGTCACATAACTGATAACTCTACAGTGATTTCATCTATTTCATCCATGGAGCATCAGACCCTTCACACCACTGACTATCTGGCTGCTTCTAGCAGCATTAACGAGGTTTCAGGCTAAAGAGGCCTAGGAGATCTGAGAAATGAGATCTGCCTGCAGACAGAAACAATTGCCTAACCAAATGAGATCAGCTAAGTCCTGTCACAGGCAAACATGTATTTTGAGACAGAGAAAGTAAGATGGATGATCTAGACAAAAAAAAATGACAGAAAGAAAAAGGCTTGTGGAAGCTATTAGGTGACTGACAGCAGATGCAACTTGCTGTTTAGAGGCACAACTGATTATGTGCCTGTAACTATACAGTTCCAGCAGTGTACAGAAATCCCCCACAACACGCTCCGTTATCATGGAATCACAGAATGGTTTGGGTTGGGAAGGACCTTAAAGATCACCTGGTTCCAACCCCCCTGCCATGGGCAGGGACACCTCCCACCAGACCAGGTTGCTCAAAGCCCCATCCAGCCTGGCCTTGGACACTGCCAGGGAGGGGCCATCCACAGCTTTCTGTTATGTAGTAACAGATTCTTTCTCAGGAGTGAAAAGACTCTAAAGCTAGGTTTCAACATTTTGAGCAAGCATCTGCTTCAGAAAACAACCCATGAAGTTACATGGCTTATGCCTTTTGCTTCTTTGATCCCTATGAAATTTCCCAGATTTCTGCTTTGAAGTGTTACAAGCATAGATTCTACCCGAAGTGCCTGCTTTCTCTGGTAATCCACTTAAGTTCACATCCCCTATGGAGAAGCACCTTCATTTCTTGTAGTTTGGGAATGGAAAATCAGTTTGGGCTTTGGGTAAATTATGATCTGTCATTTTCTGGAATTGAATGCCAAAGAATTTTGCAGGGTAACAAATATAGATCAGAATTACATGCAGTACAAAGAAAATTGTACTGATGCACAAAGCACTAATTATACTGTGACTGGTAACTTCTGGTAAAGTGCTTCCTTATTTCCTATAATAGAACTCATGACCCTATAATTAATATATTATTTATGATCTTTCTCCATGCACTTTGTATAGAGAAGTCTTTTGAGCTGAGTAACACATCTGTCTGTGGAAGAGGCTGTCCATGAGAGGAAAAAAGTGAATTACAGCTGATAGGAACTGAAGAGGGTAAAGGTGAAGGTGACCACAGTTAATATAAGGCCTCGTCCACAGCGGTATTCAAAGCCCAAAGTCCCACAAAGAGCACAAATACTCGAATGACATGAGATCCGAATCTAAGTGAGCTTGTCACCCTGACGAGACTTTACTACACTGTAGAGATACATTTTTACTTCAGTACTGTTAGCTTTCAGAACTTGTATGGTGTTTTACCAAACAAAGCACATATCGAAATCACGGAGTCACAGTAGCCAGGAAGCAGAAGTTACCTCTGTATTGCTGCCTTTCTTCCAGTACAGGATTCTGTAATTCCACGAGCCGTAATACTGCTTTAGAGGCCAGCTGTCATGCTCAGCAAAAGGGCCTGTGAAATCCACGTGCAGGGACCCAGATTCTGACTTCACTTTTACATCTGGTGGCCCAATAATTGCTGTATATTAGAATGGTGGAAGAGAAGAAAGAATAGAATTCAGCCTCACGTTGTTTTCATTTTGGCATTTATATACAACCCATGACAATCCACGTCTCAAACAATTTTACCTATTAGAGGAAAGTAATTCCTGTTCATGGGTTGGGCATCCTTTCCTTATAGAACTGGTCTTGAAAGGGATTTACTTTTGCAGTTAAATAACAGATACTATTGCAGACTGCATTTCTCATGCACTAAATTAACTCAGTTTTCTTCTGCCAGCTCTGGTGACTCCTGGAAGGGGAAGGACTATTTCTGCAGGTTATTACTCACTTCTCCCTCTGGGCCAAGCTGTCTCAACATCTGTCTTTTCTGAGTAGTGAAGTGTTGTGATCATTTTTAAAAATGGAAACATTTGAATTATTTTTGCATGTCTGCAGTTACCAGTTGTGCTCCTTAGGCTGAATATTATATTCTCTGATGGTGTAAACGGCTTGGTCTTACGTTTTTGTGCCACTACTTAAATTATTTCACAAATAGCTTAGTTATTGACTACATTGTGTCAGCAAGGAACTCTCCGTCAAAGTCTCCTAGAATTCCAGCAAACAACTCTGCCTTGGCTGCCCCTGCTGAAGTTCTGCCTGGCTACAGTCACGCTATAAGGTGTCTCAGACAGCAACAGCTCAATACACAGAAAATTTTGCATTCCTCTAGAAATGTGTACTTCTATATTAAAAAACACCAACCCTGCTTGCTGGACCATATATTCATATAATACTCATGAATATGTTGTTGAACTTAAGAAAAATAATGTGAGGAAGGTCTTGGCTACTCTGGGTTTCTTAGGCAATTCCTACAGTACAGTGTGGAATTTATTTAAAAAAGCACTAGCAAAAATAATTACACAAAAAGGAATATCAGATATTTTTATCATGATGCCCTACTCAGATCAGCTATGACAACATTGAAAATCATCCTGTCCTCCTCAGAGATTTGGCTGGTTGGCCAGCACTCCCAGGTCTTTCTTTCCAGGTAGTTTTATATCCAGATTTTTCCCATTCAGGAACAAGGTGCCTTGTCAAAGCCAAGCCTACTCTGAAGGCCACACGCTCTTTCAAATAATTGTCAAACTACAAGTTTACTCTCTATTCTGAAAATCCATCCACACTTTTTGTATCTCATTTTCTTTTGGCTGTAATTTATATTGGCAATGTTGGGGTTTTTTGGTTTTTTTTCCCCATGCTATGTTTCAGTGCTTCAGTACTACACAGATTACATTATATCAACATTATGCTTTTGGAGAGGTAGCCAATAAAAGCATTTTGAAAAACAAGGCTGTAAATTGTAAAACTACACTCTAAAATCCAATGAATAGCATTATGGAATTCAAGCAAATGGAAGAAAAAAAAATATTTTTAAAAGTTTTTCTCATGGACAAGGTGTAACAGGAGTTTCCTGCATAGTTTTGTGTTAAGAGCTGTGAGGGGGAAAAGAACTTGGGAAATATTAACTAGCTAATCTAAAATAATTTGATTTTTGCTTATGAGTGGAGTAAAAAAGCACAAAGCAAAGGATGCTCATTGGTAAAAACCACTTTTTCATTCCCAAGCTCAGATGACAGCAACATGATTAATGCCTCTGTAGTGCACTTTAATGCAAGGCAATGTCTAAGTCATCTCTCACAAAAGACTGTAAAACTTAACTAGGAAAATGGCAATATTTTGCAATGAAGATTTCTTAACTAAAAATTAATCTTTCTCTGTGATTTTTTTCAATTAACAAAAAAATAAAAAGAAAGCTTTTTGCCTGGCATAGCAACAAAGAAGAAAGTAACTGAACTTATTTGGATATACAGCAAGTCTGAATCACTGAAGAAAAGCTCTCCCTGGCTGAAAAATATAAATTATGCTTTTTACAAGGGAAAATTACACATTTTTTGAAAACCTCCTCAAAAGAGGTTTAAAGTACCAACACTAACATCTAGCTATGATAGTGAACCTTTATTATTTCTGACAGTGAGTTCTGCCTTCAAAAAATGGAAGTGTTGCAACTAAGACTGTATAGTTCAATGTAATTAAATTCAAAAATTACCTGCATGCTATAGCTTTTCTTATGGAGCCAAACTGTAAAGGTGCAGTAATGGCAGACAATATTTTTTGTGGAGGATTAGGAAAAGGCTTACTGTCATCCATTGGCTTAAATCTGATGGTCGCCCAGTCTGAGTGGTTATTTTCTGACTCCACTCTGACCCGTAAAATGTAGTCTCCATATGCAGACAGAGAAGAGACATCGCACTTTGTGAGTTTCAAGTTTGTGCTCACATTTTCATACCGGTTTCCAGGTAAAATGACACTGTTATCAAAGAGAAAGAAAATGCATATGATATGTAAATTGTAAGTGACTAAATGTCTTTCCTCTCAATTAACTGGAAAAGTAGCATACCTGTTTGTTAATACAACCAGTTATGACTCATGAACAAGAATTATTAGATCCAGTGTATAAGAAATGTCATTACTAGTGTGTACACACACAATTATGCATTTTATATGCGCCTATAAATCTGTGATAAGGTTAGATTGATTCAGTAAGTAGATGCCCTTTTCTTGACAGTGGTTACAAAACTTGATTGAACAGACTGTAGTTATCAGACAAGTCTGCCAACAGCAGACAATATCACTACGCACGGCTTTGCTGTCTAACTTGGACTTTGTTCAGAATAGTCTTTAAGATATGCATACAAGGAAAAGCCAGAGAAAACAGAGCCTGAGAACTGACTGGGAACCATTTAATATACGATATTCTTTCTGTTTTGCATCAGAAGCCCACATAGGAACACAGTGATCAACAGGTAACTGCTATGGGAACCCAGAAAAATTTTATTTCGACCAAGATGGCCCAGGCCCTTGGTTTGGGGACTTCTCCTCGACTGGCACCTGCCTGTGGGTGCCAGCATCTCCACTTTACATCCTACCCTATCTTGGCCAAAGAATTCAACCTTCAGCAATAAGACCTCTGGCCCAAGATGTGGTTTCCTTGCCAAGCACAGAGACAGGCAGGGAGCTCACCGCTGGGCTGGGCAAGCGGCTGCGTTTCTCAGAACAGCCACATAGACCACCTTTCCCAGCAGGAAAGACCAACTCGGAAGGACAGAGTGGCAAAACCAAACCAAAGGTAAGTCAAACCACTGAAACTGACAAAAGGAGACCTCAGAAAATGTGTCCTGAGTTTAAGGCACTGAACCGACCAGTCACCAGCCTGCAGTTCACTGGGCATTCCCACAAAGGGTGCAGGCAAGCTGCAGAAATACACACAATTTCTCATTAAAGAAAGTCACATCAGGTCTTTCTTTACAAAATAGGATTTTTTTTTTTTTACAAACCTTACACAATACACCAGTGTGATTATCTTTTGCAATAAAGCCGTACAAAATGCTGCTGGAGTAAAAGGTCAGATAAGGTCCTAATGCTCAGCAGGATGAAGTCCCTTGATCATAGGTAACAGAGCAAAAACACACACTGAGCTAGTAACAGCCCATACTAATACGTGTTTCCGATTCCAAAAAAAAGTATGCACAAAGCTTCCTTGGGCATGAAATGTTTAGAAAACGCCGCTGCCCTATTATTTAGCTCAGAAGAAAAGCCTCTCACAAGCTAAAAGAAAGGGATGGCTACTGATCTTCTTCCAAAAAGGAAACAAATCACAAGCACAGGGAGATGCTAAATGTGAATCAAGAAAACAAGACTCCTCCTGACTTACCTCCTAGACTGGACAGTGTAACTTATATTCCCTTTGTGAAACTTAGGTGCATCCCACTGTAAAATGCTACGAAGATTAACTGAAATTATTCTTACGTTTCGAGGTTTTGGCACTATTCCAGATACTGTGAGAAAAATCAAAAACAAACAAACATTTTAGTATGTGTTCCTCCAGCAACTTCTTAGTCATCCAAAACTTAAGTACAGCTTTCTTTCTCTTCCTTGCCTCAGGCACTTTTTTAAAAACAGACTTTAATATAATTTCTTGATATCATTTCTTCTGAGCTTATGCAACACAAAACAATTAGCCAGCATCAATGATTTCCAGGAATTACAGTCTTTATGATTTCATCATTTATTATGCATGACTAACTTGTTACTGACTTAGGGCACATCAGGCTACATGCATGAACTCTCACTGAGATATTGTCAAAATCAAGTTTTTCTAAGTAATGCTCCAGTAGCACTATGGAAATAACATGGGGAGGGGTGATTGTTGATTTGTTTTTTGGTTTTTTTCTGAAGAGGAGCATGAACAGTCTTTCTACACAGACCTAGATATAAGACTAATATATCAACATGGGTTAGGTTTATTTATTAAGCCACTCTTTTGAAAAACAGACATAAACAAGAAGGCAAGACAGCTATTAAATAAACCATACAGATAAATGTCTCATTAATTGGCACTCTTCACAAGGGATGAAAACATGATCATTTTGCTTTATTGAAACTGAATAAAGGGAACACTGAAGTAGTATCGATGAACAGTCCATTACTATTACAATTTAAAAATTTTAAAATAATTGTTGATATTGAAACTAACACTGAAAAGGTTTTGGCCCGTTACTGCAACACAAATGATCATCGCAAATCTGACCCTGTCAGATCAGATTACTGCTTGAACATCACAGGTAAAACCTAATGGCATGTGTTCTAAGATAAATAACCTACTTTACATGTCTATAGTTGATGCATAAATATACAAAATGAATGTGTCAGTTACCCACTTTTGGCAGACAAGAATTTAAAATCTAAACCCTGCTTACATAAAAACTATCTTGTAGAATCCATGCCTACAAAAACACACTTGACATCATGAAAGCAGAACTTGCTTCCTCCCGGGCACCCAGACCTCCTCGTGAGATGCCATCCCTGCACCCACCCTGTGCCCTCACCACTCCCACCTCGAGCATCCCCCCTCAGAGATCTCTGTCCTTCTGTGGGCACCACTGGCCTCCTGCTCCCACACCTTCCCCTGCCTGCAAGATCCCAGCAATGCAAAACGCGAAGGGCAGTTGGTGCAAGAGATGGGTGCAGGCAGCAGACCGCAAAGACTCAAGCATGTACAACACAGCTGAAAAACCCCTCAGGCTAGTACAAGGCATCTGCTTTCTCCTCTCCCTCACGAAGTGGTCCTCACTGCAGAGGACCCCGTCCAGGGCACTGCCCGTGCATTACGGAAGCCTCCTCCAAAGGTCTGAGGTAGGCTTGTGCATTCGCGGTAAAAATCACGATGCCTTTTGAAGGCTGGCTGCCCTGGCGGCGGTTTCTACTCGAAAAGCCTCCAGGTAGCGTGTTTGTTCCGCGCAGTGGACCCAAAGAGGTAAGAACACGCTTCTGCGGCTCTGTGCTTCGCACACCCAAGGTTCATGCTCAGCTCACATCACCGTCTCAGGCACGGCCTCTTTCGGGAAACCTCTGGCCCGG